TATTTTGTGAAGTGAATAAATCTTCAACTGACTTTTCCACAAAAATATCTTTCAAATAATGGTCTATTTAGACAGATATATTAATAATCTTCATCAAATTATAATAAACATTAGTCTTTAACAAACGAATACAAGGTTACTTTGAACATGCTATTAACATTATAATTGCCCCTCACACCGTACACTTCAAATTAATATCCTAGACTTTATCCCAAAATTAAAACTATCGTGCGAGGAAATAAATTCAAGCGGCCTCTCAATCCAATGCGACACGCTTAATGAAGAATATTTGCAAATGCGTTGGTTTTATTTCACGTTGTGAATCATTTTGGACCTTGAGAATATTACTGGAGTTTTTTTCCAACACCAAACCGTTATTTTAACACCTCGACACGTGTTTCGATCAACAAGTGATCAAACTAACTCAGTTAGTCTAAAGTCTATGGAATGGTTTTGTTACAAAATATGACAGGCGACTTTCATATTTTAAGTGTGCTAAGTGTTCCTTATATTTCATTTTAATAAATCTTTTGGTCTGTCCATATTTTGCAACAAAACCATTCCATAGACTTCAGTTCATTAAGATTAGTTACACATATTAACAACAACAGGCATCTAGATGCCTATAAGAGTATAGAAATAAGTAAACATAATAATATTATGAATAATGATGGTGGACCAATACCTAATAGAATATTATATAGCTTGTTAAAACAATATCTTAATTATTAGATTTACCTGACTATTACATAAGGACACATTGTAAAATTAATTTAGTACTAGTAGATATGGCAATATTGTGAAATCACTTTAAGACACTTAAGGCGCAGCCAGGTACCTAGAAGAGGTATCTATGGTATAAATGAGGATAACTTTTTAAGTATATTTAGTTTGATCTTCCTCTTGAAAATGATCACTTGGTGATCGAAACACTGTCAAGGTGTTGAAATAAGGGTTTGGTGTTGGGAAAAACTCTGGTAATATTCATTACTACACCAAAGGTTCCAAATACAGCATCAAGTTGAATGTTAAGGTCGAATTTTTTTTGTGTGCTTGTTGTCTTTAGATGGATAAATACTCACCTATTTCAAAATGAAAATCCACAGTTTTTAGTATTACTCCTGTCGCGACGTGTTTCGTAATTATTCTAGATGACAGAATTCGAGAACTGCACGACACTGGCAATAATCGAATCGAAATGAAACAGTACTTTTTGAAGATGCCGCGATTTTTGTCGCAACGCGATAGACGGCAAAGATCGCATGCATAAAAGATGCCTGCACGCACTAGAGACACAAACCGATATGAAGCTTGTTTTCATCATTTTTGACAAAAACCAAATACATACTTTTTTTCTGAAATAACCGAAACACCACTGCAACTTGTTCAGTATCGTTTATTCCACATGGTCAAAATAAGAAAAAATGGAATTGGATGAAGGCGTAGGGAGAATTATTTTACAGGTTTTCCGGCTAGCGTTATTCCTACAGATACATGCTCTCAACTCATGAACAAATGTGACTTTGTAAAATTAGAAACAGAATATTTGTTGGTACCAAACTTAACGCCTGCAATATACCGACCGTTTTTCAAGCTGAACCCACTATTGCTATCACGTAAATGGTAAGATTTACTGTGATATCTGATACATAGGTATGTGTTATATGCAAATAGTGAGGTGCTAAATTTACTTTCTAGAATGAGCCTTTTTCCTGAGAATAGTACAGCGAACGTGTCACGAGAGGCAGCACTAGTAGTAGGGGCAAACATAAACTATTCACATGTAAAACAGTGTTATTTACGTACCTAATATTAATTTATTATTCGAAAATATAAATCTGATATAAAAAAAT